AGGCCCCTGCCCAGCATCCTGAGCCCCAGCCCCAGGGGCCAGGCCCTCCCTTCCCTGGATTGGGCAGCGGCACTTCCACGGTCGGCCACCAGGGGGAGCCATAGCCCCGGCTTTCACTGGGGCAGGAGCAACCCAGGGATGCTGGCCACCTGGGTACCCCCTGGCCTGGGGGGTCGGACCCGCCCAGCTGACCTCACCCAGAGGAGAAGCTGAGGCCCGAGGAGCGGGATTGGGCAAGAGGCTGAGCAAAACATGCTGTTCCGAGCGGGCCCAGGGGAGAGCTTCCCAAGCACAAGCCAGAATGAAGCCCAAGCCGTGCTCAGTGCCAGGGAGCCGGTTCCCAGGGAACCGACTGGGAGAGGCCCCAGGTCCCCGAGGTCAGGGCTGGAGGCTGGGTGGCTGGGGACGCACCGTGACCCCACAGGGGTGGCCCGGAGGGCATCCTGGGCCCCGCTGAGGCCTCCCTCTCTCCTCCCGTCCCAGGCGGTGACCACAGGCCTGAAGAGCCGGCACCACCACACCGAGGAGGTGTCCACCTACATCGCTGTGGTGCAGGCGCGGGGGGGGGGAGGGTAGGTCTTGGGGGGGACACAACCCCCCTCCCCCTCACTCCGGGTCTGCTAACCCCACCCCCTCACTCTGGGTCTGCTAACTAGGCCTTTTTTAAATTTTTTTTACTGATTTCAGAGAGAAAGGGAGAGAGAGAGATAGAAACATCCATGATGAGAGAGAACCATGGACCGGCTGCCTCCTCCACGCCCCCCACTGGGGATGGAGCCCACAACCCGGGCCTGTGCCCTGACCGGGAATCAAACTGTGACCTCCTGGTTCCTAGGTCGATGCTCAACCACTGAGCCTCGCCGGCTGGACTGCCAGCTCACCTTTTACACACAGTTGCAGTAACCGACTTCAGGGGCTAGGAAAGGCTGCTGGAGGCGGAGCGGACAGAGGGGGTCGCGGCCCGACAGGTAACGCTGGGCCAGTGAGCACAAGTGGGGCCTCCGAGGGCAGGGCACAGGGGCCAGCGGAGGCCGAGCCTGCCGCTCCTTCCTGAAGCGGTGTCTCCAAAGTGGCCACAGGGCCCGGCCGGCGTGGCTCAGTGGTTAAGCATCGACCTATGAACCAGGAGGTCATGGTATGATTCCCGGTCAGGGCACATGCCCCGTGGTGGGCTCGATCCCCAGTGTGGGGCGTGCAGGAGGCAGCCGGTCCATGACTCTCTCCCATCGTTGATGTTTCCATTTCTCTCTCCCTCTCCCTTCCTCTCTGAAATCAATAAAAATATATTAAGAAAGACACACACAAAAAACAAAGTGTCCACAGGGACCCCCTATTGTGCCTGCAGAGGCTGAGCCCTGTCCTGAGGCTCGGGGGGGTCTGGGGTAGGAGGGAGTCGGGGGTGGGATGGAGTTGAGGTTGGTGGAATGTGCAAGTCACTCCTCAGCCCTCACTTAATCTCGGAGGAAAGGCTGTGACCACATTCTCGGGGGAGGGGACAGGCCTGAGGCCCGGGCTGTGGTCCCAGTGGGAGTGGGGGGCAGGCCTGGGCCCCAACATGAGGACAGGGTGCGCCCAGGCCCCCGGGGCTGGGCAGGGGGCTCCTTTGGCGGCTGGGGGCTTAGCGCCCCTCTCTTTCCTTCCCATCCTCTCCCGGCCCTCACCGTCCGGCAGACACTCAGGGCCCCTCTGGCCGGGCCGGCATGACAGCCATTCCTGTCCTGGGCGCTGGCTCCGTGGTCCCTGCCCCCGGCCTTGGCCTGACCAGGACACTGGGGAGAGGAAGGGAATGTCCCACCCCTGACCCTGCCGACTCCCCCCAGCCATCCCTTGCCTCGGGGTGGGCTGGCCCTGGCCCAGGAGTGAACTTTGGTTCCCGGTTG